ATCGGATTTGACCCGGTTCATCCTTCGGCAGGAGAATTAAAAAATAAAAAAAAAATCATAAAAATAGAAAATTTAGAAAAATCATAAAAAAAAATAGAAAATTTAGAAAAATCATAAAAAAAAATAGAAAATTTAGAAAAATCATAAAAATTCGAAAATTCAAAAAATGTAAAAAAATTGAAAATTTAATCTTTTCGGTAATAAAATTTTCCCAAAAAAAATTAAAAATTTCAAAAAATTCACAGAATGGCTTAGAAACCTTGTGGCCACCCACCTTAAGTGAAATTGAAATTTTTTTGAGGTGCCTAAGTGGTATTTTTTAGGAGCTCCTCAGTTTTGGAGTTAAAAGGGGTTTAACACCTAAAAGGGGTCTCATCCCCAAAAAAACCTTAAAACAACACAATTCATTGAATAAATAAGCCATTAGGGCTTCATTAGGCATTAGGTGTTTTGATTGGTTTTTCATTTTAGAGCCCATTTTAGGAATTGTTGTTTTTGATTGAAATTGATTGCGCATTTACTCATTAATTGATTGATTTCTTCCGATTAGAATTGTTAGAATTAGTGGATAGGCCTTGCGAACTCGCGTGACACGTTAGACACATCGTATCGTTTTAGGTACTGAAAGGACGTTAGAGATCTCAATTCGAGATCATTAGCGTAATCAAGTCCCCTTACCCATGTAATTTCTAGTTCGTAGAATCGTGGTATTTCTCCCATATCTCGATTAGGTTTCTAGTCAACTTATCAATAATGACTAGTGACGACTTCAAATTAAAACTCGGGCTAAATAGAAAAGATTAAAAAATAAAAACCCATTGTCTCATGAGGTATGGTCTGGGAGAGACCCTTGTTTGTCTAGTGATGAGATGTCTTTGGGACGTTTGGGTGAAATATCTGTTTTGGACCTTAATAGCCCATCGGGGGGCAGTTTCCTCATTTGTGACAAATGAAAGTACCTCTTTAGCGGGCGAAAGCGCGGCGCGACAGCGTGAAACTCTTGCGGGATGCCCGCTAATTGGAGCAATTGTCGTTCCCCTCCCAAGCAAGTCTTTCTCAAGTCCTTGTCAAGTCCCACTTCTTTATCTTTATTAATGCTATTGCTTCTTTTTAACGCCCTCTGGCCTTTATAAGGTGTTTTATATATATTTTTTCTATCTATTCTTTTGATGCAAGTAAAAAGAAAGCGTCTAGGGATTAAAAAACGAAAAAAGAAGTACTTGTTTTTCCTTCTTTCAAATTTCTTTTTTATCTGTTTTTAAACAGTGTGTTCTATGCATGGCATAGCTTGTAACAGTAGTGAAGGTTCGAGTATGGCAAAACCTTTAGCCTAGTGCAAAGGTTACTACTGACATCTCTTCGTATTCCCCACTACTTTTAAAAAAAAAATCTTAGTAAAAGAACCCTAACTATGCGCTCATATATCTCCTACGATAAACAAAAAATTAAGAAGCAAATTTATAAGTTGCAGATCGAAAACAATAAATTAAACTGATCAATCATTAAGAGATAAAGATTATTTTGCAACCATAAATGATTAAACATTAGTAATGATCCTCAAATTGAAAGGACGAACCAAAAAACATACTTCACTTAAGGTTTTCGTTCACATTTTACTAATTTTTTTGAAGAGATAAAAACAATATATAGGTAGTCGGTCGGGTTCCCTTTGCAATCGGGAACCAGACCGCCCGGACACTGATTTCACTTTTAGGAACCGGGAACCGGACCAAACCGGCCGGTCCGATCCGGTCTAAGCGGTTCCCGTTTGGGTGGTCTGTTTTGCACGCCCCTACTGAGAGGTCAAATCATATGGAATCACAAACAAAGAGCAAGCTCATGAAAACCCATAGAAACAATATAGGAACAGGACGGACAAAGAGCTAGCTCAAGTTTTTTGTATGTCGCCAAGCAAAAAGAAAACTTTCTCATTTTTAAGTATAATTTTAAATACCAATTTAAGGCCCCATTTGTTTCGCAGAAAATATTTTTCGAGAAAATATTTTCCTCATTTTCGGCGTTTGGTTCTCTTAGGAAAATGAGTTAACGAAAAATGTTTTCCTAGTTAATGGAAAACCTATGCTTAAATTCATGAAAATGATTTTCTCTTTGAAAAATTAGAAAACATTTTCCAAAATATAACTAAGTATTGGCGCTTGAACCCAAAACTCTATTATTAGATATGGGAACCCCAATGCTAGTTCTCGGGTCCTCAGCACTCAGGTCCAGGTCTCTAGCGCCTAGGCCAGGGTCCATCAAGGCCAAGCCCAAGCCACCGTCGCCCATGGTCGGGTCCATCAAGGTCGGGCCCAAAGCCCTAGTGCCCTTGCCCATGCCCAATGCCTTTGACACTTGAGCCGGGGTTCATAATGGCATTGCTCAGGTCACCGACGCTCAAGCTCTAGTCCTCGGCACTTAGGCTCAAGTCCACAAAGACCTTGCACGAGTCCTCGGCTCTCGGGCTCGAGTAATTAGTTGATGAAACGTTTGTTTTTATAAAAGTATTTTTAAAAAAATCATATTTTTAATTTTTAATTTTCTTTTGTTTTTTCCTCTTTCTTCGACCGGCTGCCGACCATGGCGACAGCCAGCGACCAGCCATAGATGAGAGGCAAGCTCACTCAAGGCCAACGAGGCTCAAGCTCGCCGACCTTGGGCGATCTCATCCCTTGCCTGTGGCCAGTCGCCGTGGCTAGCGATCGATTGAGGAATAAGGAAAAAGGAAAATAAATAAATAAATAAATAAATAATTCGAATATTTTGGTAATTTTTCTCGAGGAAAATCAAATCGGATTTTCCATACTAAATAATGGAAAATATTTTCTAATTCATTTGCAGATTTAAGCTAAACATCGGAAAATACTGTCATTTTTCTGAAATATGATTTCCTAAAAGTCATTTTTCAGAGATGCTACTTTTTTCGCAAAACAATGAAGTGGAGCCTTAATTCTAGCGTTAATTTTTCGAAGTTGTGCTGTGTGCGTGACAACCAGAGTTGTTGCCTCTTTTCAACACCCTCTCTTTCTCGCCCCTGCCCCAATACCCCATTTCGTAACAGTGGTAGTTGCTGTCCTATTTTGAGCTGCTGTCTCGGATTCTTCGAATGGACACTCACAGGATCGAAGTTCAGCCCAAAACTAAACTCGCTTCATCTTTGGTTTGTATCTTCACGGTGGGCCAACAGTTTTATGCTCATTCTTTCACTTATGTTTTGGGTCATGGTTGTTTTCTGCATCATCTGTCCAAACGTAACAACGATGTCGAATTGCACTTTTTTTTCAACCTTTGTAATTTGACTTTTTCTTAAGCTTGCCTTCTCGTAGTTTGACATTTTAGCGCAAAATAGCTGAACATTCCTAGCCAATACGTGGAATATATGGTTTTTTTCCATAATAGTCTGTAACTTAAAATACTCTCTTTTTCGATTTCCAAATATTTGGGGATACACACACACACACACATATATATATAATATATATATATATATATGGGGTTAATATCATGAAAAACCCCAAACTGATACACATATGACAAATTTACCTCAAACTAATTTTTTGACCATGAAAAACCCCAAACTGATACACCAATGATAAATTTACTTCAAACTAATTTTTTGACCACCAAAAATCCCAAACTGGTACATTGTGACAAATTTTCCATTTTATTAGAATGAATGAATACCACGAAAAATTACAAATTGGTACACCTGTGACAAACAGAGGGTACAATCATAAACTGGTATACCCGTCAATTATCACATGTTATCCAACTTATAAATTTAACGGTAAAATTTAACGAAAACTAACAAAGAGTAAAATTATGATAAGTATACTAGTTTGGAGTTTTTGGGGGTCAAAAATTAGTTTGAGATAAATTTGTCATAGTTGTACCAATTTGGGATTTTTCATGGTTTTAACCCTTTATATGTATAAAGGCTAGCTCCAGATGGGCCATTTCTTCTGTTCAACGCCAGTGAAAATGATCATTTCCATCGAGTGTCAAGACTCAAAGGTCTAGAAAGGCATGGGTAAGCAAATACTTTTTGACAGAGAAAATATAATGAAAGTCTTAATGAGTTTCGTCCAAAATAAAGGGGTCGACTTAGATGCGAGATAAATTAATGAGAAAGGTCTCCACTGTTACTCCCGTACTGCATCGGCTTCTTCTCACCAGAAGTTCTAAGTTTGAGCTACCCTAGTTCCAGGAGCTTTTCAGTTACTGTCAGAAGCCGAGTTGCATCCAAATTTCAAAGTCGAAACGAGATTCTGTATTAAGACTTCGGCATCGAGCAAGGATTCAAATTGTCATATGCTTACAATATGCGGAACCTAGGATTGTCTTTAAATTCGAAAGAGGTCATGCACCAGAAAAGTACGTGCCCACACTCAACATCGACAGAGATTATGAATACTAAGACCAATTTACAAAATCAATCTACTAAATGACGTGACATACTATACTTGGATATTCGAATAAAATACCTTTCGAGCATACAAGAGTCCATCTCATTTCTCTATAAATCAATTTTAAAAATCCCTCTTAGTATTATTCGCATTATTAATTAAATCACTCTCATTTCTTTTTTTCTCCCGTTTAAGTCAAAATTTGTGATTTTCCAGAACAAAAGAGTCATCGGATTGGGAAGAAAGAAACCCACCATGGCCAAGCTAGACCCCAAACAAGACTGAAGGCCCAAATGGTACAGAAAAAGAGAAGGTAATCCTAACTAGATGGAATTCAAAAGAGCAGGGACACAAATCCTAGACACTTGGAAGTAAAGAATAATGCTTGTCAAAGAAGCAAAGCAACGCATATTATATGCCCCCGCTGTTTTGCAAATGATGAAAGTTAATGAATTCCATTGGCCACAAACAAGATCTTTCTTGGTAACTCTAATTAGCTGACTCCATTACATGAAACAGTGTGTCATCATAAGCCGTCTGAAGCTTAGCTCCAGAACACTTTAAGAGCTGACCAAATAAAAATCGGAATAAGAAGACTTTCTACAGCAAATAATCCATTGTAGGATCAGCATATACTCTTTAGCCATGGGGAGGACAAGAATAAAGATGATGCCTTACTTCTGCTGCATCTCAGCAATGCAACTGAACCGAACCAAGGTCCAATGGTCAGGTCAAAACCAGCCTGGCAAACCAAAGGACTAGAGACTAAATAGTAGTACTGATGTCAAGGAGGGGGCCTGACTTGCGAAAACCTCTCTTCCAAGACCCAGTAATAACTTAAATTAACCGCGTAAAATTGAGACAACAGGAATACACAAATCAATTTACAGAGAAAAATCACACGGAAACGAAACCATGCTTCAATGGAGTGTGTCCTCCGACCAGTAGTCAGTCGAAGCTAGAGGATCGACTCCACGTGCTCTGCAAGTAATCCTCCGATGACATGCTTTGCTCCGTGCTGCTAACAGAGAGTGAATCATCCTCCAAATCTTGGAATGCAAGATTTAAATGTGATTGGATGCTAACGGGAGAATCTTCCCCGTCCATTTCGTCAAGTTCTTCTGAGGAATTAATTTGTTGCCTTGCCCACTCAAGCACTTCCTCGTCACCTTGTAGGAGCTTTAGGATCTGCCAAGCATTTAAACCCAAATTTAGGAAAATTGTCAGCAATGCATTGAAGAAAAGGAGGTGCCACAGTAGAACAATAACCATGCTTACAAGGCTTATTTGAGGTCGAAATCTGGATAAACGTCTGATACAAAGGGTTGCCGCCAAAACCATTCTGCCAATCTGTTCAGGGTCATAATCACGGCCCAAGCTTGGATCAAGCAATTGTGATACCTTCCCGGCCTTCAAAATAGGCTTTGCCTGCATGTCATTGACAACCCGCTGTTCATATAATTGCTACCAGTAAGCATTTTCATAATAACCACCGCAAATATAGGATATCATTTCCACCGCCAGTGCTCAGTAAAGGATATGTTGCGCATGTTTATATTAACTACATGCCACTCCACAAATGTCTACGTGTCATCAAATAAGGGCCTCATGTACATATACGTGGATATAAAAGTGCTCCAATCCCTCAATGCTTTCAAGTAACAATAATTCAAGGCTTCAACTAGATTTTCCCATACATAATCATAACGACTTTAATGTAAAACAGCTTGCATATATAGGCGTCTTGTCCAACATTTGGACCATAACAACTTACCCACATAACCAGGCTTTCCTGACCTTTTGGACATTCACCATCAATTGGCCTTCTACCAGAGATCAACTCAAGGATTACGACACCAAATGCATAAACATCTATGCGGTCGCTCACTTTGCCATGCATGAAGTACTCTGGAGCCAAGTAACTGCCATAGAAGCATAGGTTAGCAACATGTGGAAGTGTGACTCAAGTTGCAGATATTGTCAGTAACAGAAACTGACAAAGGAACTGCTGAAGCTGGACAGACGACAGAATACACACCCAAAAGTTCCTGCAACATTGTCGCTGATTATTTGGGTCGAAAGATCTGGAACCCTAATGGCCATTCCAAAATCTGACAACTGAAAGGCCACAGCAGACATTAGTGAGGACAATAATCTGGAATAGAACAGAATGAAGAAGTATTGTTCCAGCACCTGAGGCTCAAAATCATCAGAAAGAAGAATATTTGATGATTTCACATCTTTGTGAATTACTGGTTGATCACAGCCATTATGCATATAGTCCAGAGCCTCAGCCACACCAACAGCCACCTTGTACCTCTCTCGCCAACCAAATGCATGCAGATCCTTCTTATTGCCTTAAAACAAGACACAACCAGCGGTCAAGAAAACTAGCTGACGTAAAATTTTGCAACTGGTGGACCAAACAGAAGCATTAGATACATACCATGGAGGTTCTCCTCTAAGCTTCCTCTATGTACAAAATCGTAGACCAAAATTAAGTTGTTGCTCTCAAAGCAGAATCCAAATAAGGATACTATGTTCTTGTGATGCAAATCAGTAATAATATCAATCTCTGAGACGAAATCTTTCACGACACCATCAAATGGCTTCAGCAATTTCACTGCCAGCTCCTTGCCATCAGGAAGACATCCTCTATAGACTTTACTACAACCACCTTTGCCGACCATATTCTCTGAAATCAAGATAGTAGGTCAACCCACAGCTCACAATTTGAACACATTAAATCTTAAGCGGTATTTTAGTATTTGCGGGAAGAAGTACCTGGAATGAAGTTACAGGTTGCCACCAGAAGCTCCTCATAGTTAAACAATCTACAAGTAGATGAATATTTCTCATGAAGGCCCTTGAGTTCTTCAGGAAACTCTTTAGAGCTACTGCAAGGAGAAGGAGGACTGGCAGCTGCCTCCCCAACTGGTACAATTGCCACATTCTTTCCATCCAAATTGCAAGTATGATTTTCAGCAGAACAGCTCTGCTTTTGATCTGGATGGACTACAGCAGAAGAATGTGTGGTTGATCGTCTCAATACCCGTGGAGCAGACATCTTTTTGCCACCAGATTCCTCTATGGGCTGCCCTCTTAAGAATATGCGCTGAAGGAACATCCAACCAGTTTTGAGGCCTTGTGCAGAATTAGAGCTTGAGACATCATCATTTGGTTGAAACGGCACTAAAGCCATCGAATTGTCAACGCCCGTGTCACTATCTCCAAGAGCTTCTACAGCCAAATTTGCAGAGTTTTGGTCAGAGGTTTTCTTCTCACAACCAATATTACACTTCTGCGAACAACAGTGACTTCTTTGATTGTATTTACCCGATATTTTCCTGCTCATCGACCAATGGAGCACATGAGCATAACTCTTGCGCCAGTTATTATCTGTTTCAAGACATGTAGAAGTTACCGAATGTATCAGCATCCCAGTCAACCACTTGATCAAAAGAGTAAATAACAGGGGAAAGGGAAAATTCACACCTCGTCTGCGCTGTACATCTGTTACGGCATCTCTCTCGAAAATGACTTTGCCATTGTCAATAGCGAAAACCCAGAAACTCTTGGACAAATTTCTCGCGCAGTACTTAGCAACGGACGCCGGTGACCGGATTGTATGGTTACTCTTGGAGATTCCGACAATTACCTTAGCTGAAGAGTGCGAATTTGCTTCCTGTACCAAGACTTTCCTCACCGACGGTCCTCTACATACCTTAAGCTTCAAATCCACCTACAAAAGCAGGTGAAACAAACGTAAACCAAAGCAGCAAAAGCACTCCCCACGACCCAAAAGGACGCGAATATCTTAGCATTGCGCAAAGTAAAACAGAGAGACCCAAATTCGGCGCCTAAGAGCTCCGACCCCAAATCCAAGCTCTCACATTTCTAGCCCCCAAACGGAACAAGAAGATAAATTGAGCGAGTTTATGCTCGAATTCAACAGAAACGAGAGACCGTACCTGCTTCAAGTGGCAGAAGCCTTCGTACACAGCTATCACGGAATCGAACGCCTTCACCAGCGAGAGGAACGACGCCGTCCCTTCTACAAAGACCAAAAACCCAACACACCGCCGTGAAGAATCAAGCAGAAGACAAAGCAACTCGCCGCTAGAGAGAGAGAGAGCGAGGGAGACGGAGGGAGGGAGGTGGCCGTACCAATGGAGGCGGCCTCCTCGAGGACGTGAAGGGCAATGACGCGATCGCCGGGCCGCGCCACCTTGACCAGCGCCCACGTCAGCAACTCCCGGCTCTCCCCGTCCATCTTCACCCCGACCACCACCACCGCCGGCGACTCCTCCCCCCCGGCGCCGCCGCCGCCGCCCCCGCCCTCCTCCTCAGCCAGCTGCATCGCCTCCTCGCGCCACCCGCGGCCGCCGTCTCCCGGTCGCGCTTGTCCCCTCCCTCCTTCTCTCTCTCTCTCTCTCTCTCTCTCTCTCTCTCTCCGGCTCTGACACTTGCAGTCGCTGCGGGAAAAGTGAGGACGAATGACCCCTCACGTTTTCAAGACGGGAGATGTTAACTGCTCCACGCCCACCCCCGCAGGGGGCTGCGATCCGGTGCGCCCTCGCGTGCGGTTCCCGCGGTGCGCCCGCGGGGGTGGGGATCTCGTGCGGACGGCGTGGCGTCGAAGGCAAGGACCCCCGCGGATCTTGACCGTCAAGCGCCGCGGTCGGTTCGGTCGGGACGTGGACCGCTCGTTTTCGTTGGGGGGGCGCTAGGGTGGGGTCCAGCCGGAGGAGGAGTAGGCTTTAGCAATGATCGAGATTAGGGACTTCGACAACTTTAATGTTGTTTTGCATTTATTGCCGGTCGAATTTAGGAGATAGAAAAAAAGTTAAAATCGCGAAAGAAATACAAATCGGAATATTAGTTTTAAATGTAACCCGAATTAATTTTTTGACTACGAAAAACCTCAAATTGGTACACCTATAACGTTTTATCCTCCGTTAATTTTCGTTAAATTTTATCTTCAAATTGCTTAGTTGGAAGACACATAACAATTAACAGGTGTACCGGTTTAGGGTTTTACCCTCTGTTACCAATTTGAGATTTTTCGTGGTATTAATCTAATTTAACGGAAATTAACGAATGCTAAATTTGGAGTTTTTTGTAGTCGAAAAATTGATTTAGGGTAAATTCGTTACAGATGTACCAATTTAAATTTTTTTTGGTATTATACCAAAAAGAAAAGAATTTAGGGGGGTGCATCATGACAAACAAAAATTTAGGGGGTTTATATTCTGATTTTTCTTCCTTACAATGATGCTAAATTTGTATATATGTCCAAAGAGAGAGGACATAATCTTTTGCTACTAAGGAAGGGAGAGACATGCCCAAATTTTGATTTAGCAATTGATCGTGTTGTTGTGATTTCGTTTCGCTTTCAATGAGATTGTCTATTCTTACGGGCATTCGTGGTATTTATTTGTGATACGAAAATTACTCAAATCTGCTGCTTGACGTGGTAATAAAATATATTTAGTTGATCAAACCCGCAAGATCAATTCGTGGGGTCTACGATCAAAATTATGGTAAACCAAAAATAAAATCAGGAGAAAAGAGATCGTGCAAAGATTTCCCTCCTCATGTCGAACCACTACGGTGAGTAATCAATCGATTGTAAATTAATGTTGTAATTAATGCGAGAGCTCCCTTTTCGATGATGGCCAGTGAAAGAGAAAAATGACAGTTTTCATCGATTTAATTAATGTATAAACCTAGGATTATTAACCAAAAGTTTAATGATCAACAAGGAGGGATCTTTGACAGCTCTGTGCTCTCTTTGCTTTCCCAACAAGAAGCTCAGCACCCTCACCTACCAAGTTTTGAGAACCAATAAATTGAAGACAATTTATTTAATTAATCACCACTTGGTGTGGTCTTTATTTAATTGATTAAAGTAAGAAATTGACCCAAAAGTGACCCTAGAGCAAAAAGTGGTCCAATTGAGATGATGTTGTGAATCAATTGGCCAGCATCTTGGGGGCTCACATGGTCGAAGTGATTTTTCTAAGCTAATCCCCATTTTGCTCTTTGTGATTCCTTGCCTCGGCTACACCAATATTCTCTCTTTTGCACATATATGCTTAAAGCGCTTTTCAAGTTACCTAATCCCCCCCTTTTGCAATGGCAAAAGAGAGGGAAGATGCTTTGGCATTGGAACGATGATTGCACTTTGTGTTTAGTACTACCCAAATTGGGCATCATCATGACAAATTGTGGCTTTCATGTAAAGCTTCCCCTTATTCTCTTTGCCTTCGGTATTCTCCTCCTATTCTATCCATTTTAGATTAACAATTGCTACTTTGCAGCACTGGTGAATCGTGATGATTGACTTACCATAATTGACGGAAATAGCTTTCTATGTAGGAGGGCAATCGACCGCGATTCTCTTTATCCCGAAATTTTCTATCCGTCTGTCTTTCTAATCGAGCCCAAAGGACCTCATAGAAATCGAACAGAAATAGTTATCCGTAGGCAGGTCTTTTCTTTAGCTCGCTCTCCCTACTCTTCATGTCTTGATTTCTCCTCTTGGCCACGTGCACTTCCCTTCTTATCGTGCAAACAAACACGTCGAGATTAAGATCATTTTGACTTTGAGGGTTGATCAATAAACCTTAGTATCATCACTTCAGGATGATATATTGAGTCAAATGTTTGAAAAGACAAGGTCTCAAAGTTACCCATTAACTACAAAATGCATCTATGGTCAATCTATAGCATACCATGTAAGCTTATCATGACAGAAATGTCCAAAAAAGTAGGAAGAATTTTCCACCAAACTCAAGAATTTTTTCATAAGAATTTTTTTTCCTCAGCATTGTTTATTTATATAGAATAGCATAGTATTGGCGTAGCCTATAATACACAATGGGTCATGGAAAATGTTCAAACCCACCTCAATCGGTCAATCCTCCTACAACAACCTAGTTATAGGAGTTTTTGCTCAATCCTTTTGTTTCATGTCTTTCACTATCAAATTCAAGTCGAAACAACCGATTTCTATTGTCTCACTAATGAAGAAAATAGGTCATAACAACCAATATAATTTAGAAAATAGTAGGTGAACTATAAGCACACGACTTCCGCCAAGGATTATCTAAAAGTCAACTAAGCATAGAGGCTTAGAGAAATCAAATATTCATGTGTGTTCCCGGCCTCCACATTAACATGACTTTTGAATAGAAATTACGGGGTACGTGACCTCAACGAGCTTAACCAGACTGAAATTACCTATCGATCCCTCCAAATTGGGGCCACCCATGCCACGACGAGGCGATTTACAGGTCAAATATGAAACCATCTCCACGCCTCGTTGGGCCGGCCCCTCGTTAACGTTTTCCGGCGTTGGCTAGTGAAAGAAGTACGTATTGACTTTGAGATGGTACCGTCCTGAAATTGACCGTCGAAAGGTGGTAAAGAGGCGTGGAATTTGGCCTGCGGAAAGCGAAAGAACTAGTAATGTATTTTTTCTCGTAATTCTTTCCTTTCTTTTTTCGAAATGATGGAGATAACAAATGGTGCTTCGATTGCGATGGGAAGTGTCAAAAAATTTGGGCGGTTTGTCCTTTTCACGAGTTGTCAATTTGCCATGACCATACGCACGTGCATATGTGGGTGTGCTGCATGCTTGCTGATGAGGTCTCTTTTAGCAAGAGATTGAATTGATTAGTGTGAGAAAGTATGAACATTATTGCCCATCATGGGTCATCAGGATCATGTTAATAAAGATAGATTAACACTTCAATTGGGCAAGATCTATCTATCGAGGAAGATTAACCCAGAAGTTCCACTCAATTACGCAAAGACTAAGAGGAGGAGATGTGTATGAGATCCATCTTGTCATCATATTGATAGAGATGTTCATGTTCAATAACAATTTGCATAAAAGAACTATTTATACCATGGTTTGCTCTAGCTATTAGCATGAGGGTTCGTAATGTAGTTGTGTGTATAAAGGATGAGCAAGTTTTGTGTGTACACATTACGTGACTGTATAGCAAAGCATGAGCTAATTCAATATAGCAATTATACCAATCGAATATGCTGAGACTGCGTTTCATCGTCTGAACCTTTTTTTTTTTTAAGATAAGATAAGATCGGATTGGATACAAATAAGATGGGATTTATAATATATTATATAGTGTCCGAATATGACATGGAATACCAATAGATATTATCCATCACACCCACAACCTTAGCTATGTGCATGTGCGATCCCTCCTCCCGTATCACTAATGTCGTTAAGGGAAAGGAGACACGGTACCACACGAGCCCCGTGTTGAGATAGAGTGTGAGCATGGCATCTCGGGCTCTGCAGCACTCAACCGAAGCCCTAGATCTTGGATCCATGGCTTGGTAAACCTTAGATCTGAGATCTAAGGCTCCATTGTGCCAGCCGAGCTCAGGCTTGACGACGATGGCGGACAACCGTAGCCTACCACTACAAAAAAACTGATTTTTTCCGACGAAATTTCCAACGAAAAATTCTGGAAAATTCGTTGGAAAACGAATTTCCAACAAATTTTCCAACGAAAAAAATCAAGAGCTGAGGCGTCTATGGCAATTGGTGATGGAATGCAGAGGTCGCAGCAGCGTTTGAGGGAGGAGGTGACGGCGATCGGCCTTCATGGTGGTGTGTTCTCATGCAGTGCTTGGTGATGCTATTAATGGAGGCAGTGACGAGCGGCAGGACAACATTGGCCTTGGTCGCGCAATATCCGAATTATATCCCACCTTCTAGGTGGGGTATTTTTTTTTATCAATATTATATGTAAACAATATTTTGATATATATCGTCCCAGCATACCAAAGAAGAAAAAAGCTATTCTATCTGGAGTTTAGAATTCGATTATGTCAATAGGACCAAATTGACGGAAGATGAGAGCTATTCCATTGCAAGTTTTCAAGCTTTCTAGGAGTTTAGAATTAAGGTCTTCCGTATTTGTGCTTAACGTTTGGTACTGTGAATATTGTCCCAAACCGGCTAATAGAAAAGCATTATACACGGACCAAAAAAAAAAGAAGAAAAGCATTATACGAAATGAAAAATCACGAGGAAAGAAGGAAAAAAAAAAAACACGACCTGCTGTTTTGTTTGCTCATTGTTCTCAGCTTTGTCCCCTGCGCGTTGACCAGATCTCCAATTTTTTTTATTTTCTTTTTTTCTTTATAGTTTTTTGTGCCTCAGTGAAGTGACCAAAACCCCCGGTTCTGTTAGAAACCGGTTCAACCAATCCGAAATTGAACCGATTTTGAAACCTGTTTTAGAAATATATATGTATATATGGTCTTACTATTCATTAAGAATTATATCGCGGTCTTCAACACAAAGAAACATCAACATAATTACTTTACCAGCAAGTTTTTGTATTTGACCCAAA